CTCGTAATTTTAGTCTGGGCCTGCAGAGATAAGCAGCTTCAATTCGCTGCACCATTCACACGCTGCCTTAGGGCTGAATTTTGACCCTGCTCAAAAGACAGATGATGCTCCAGCGCTTCTGTTTCAGAGGCAGAAGCAGTTTCAGAGTGTAATTTGCTAAGTGCTTTGGGACTGACTGTTCAGGACAGAATGGTACAATTTACATGTAGGCTGGTATATTAACTGCAGGAATCTAATACTGATAATACTTGCTGTTGCTACCAAGTTCTTTATTAGCTTCGTCCATGTTCGGACTGCACTGTTACATTGCACTGCCTTTTGCAATGTGCTAGCTAGAAGTGATGGGTCAAATGAGCACAAATTAAAAAGCAAAATACAGTAGGACATTACAGATGAAGGCAGAGATTTGTCTACGATTCTCCATAGTCATTCCATATTTATATTAAATCATAAATACAGTTTTTGCTGACATAACCAAAGCCACCTTGGGAGATTTTGATGCACAATGCCTGGTAAAATAAACAGGAATTATGTATCTCAGTCTCCTAGGCTACTTCAGAAATCTCAGCAAAAGTCTTTGATTAATGTTTAACATAAATGTGGAATGACTTTCGAGAGTTATCCACATCAATAGGCAATAGAGAAGGACTGTGGGCATAGTTGGTAGAAGTTATTTAAAGAAAAATCACTGAATTAAAATTCAAAGATATAGATGAAACGAGAAGAGGATGCGAAGCCTCCCCCCACCCCGCTCCCTGTTGTTGTTATAACAGTTTTATGAGTCTCCTTCTGCAGAAACAGTCCAGCATGAATCAAGGCTTTTTCAAGCTTGCTTGAATTCAGCCTTGGGTTGTATAACACTCTAACGAGTTAAGGTATGTTACTGAAGGATTTCAAGGTTCACAATTGTCTTGAAAGTAAACATGAATAATAGAGCTAGAGAATAATTAGAAGTCAAATATAACCATGAAGAGTATTTTCAGGTGAGACAAGATTTCGTCCCATTTGTTTCACGCAAAGGATTGCACAGAATTCAATCTCGGTTGCGTGACCCACAGGGTCAGGCTGACAAAACCAAGCAGAAGGTGGGCGCTCTCCTGGCAGGGGGTCAGTGGCAATGCTAAATAATTCCGATCCTGCTCCCTTCAGGCTGCTGCCCACGAGAGTGACGCCGTAAGGCTGAGCCCATCGGTCAAGGAAGGAAATCGATGCACTCAGGTCCTGTCCCACCAGACCGCGCGTGGCGCTGCCCAGCATCGTGCGCTTTCTGGTCCTCGGGGAGCCCATGCCGTTGCAGCCCTGCGAGGATGGGCCCGATGGGTGACTGCCTGCACCGAGATCTCCTTGGGATGAGGTGGCACGTGGTTGGCCCTGTGCCGGCCAACCTGACTGCATCCTGACTCTTTTTCTTTTTTTTTCTTTTTTTTTTTTTTTTTTGAGAAGCTAAAATAGTCCCCAGGGACATCTCTGGGGACATGCTGGTGACGCGCAGCCCCTGTGCCTTTGCATTTTAGATGTGCCATTTCGGAAATCTGTCCGAGAGCCCAAACCAACGGGGACGGATGTTGTTGGTGTAACCACAGTTTAGCTGCCATCTGCTAATAATATTTATAATAGTAGAAACACGGAAAACAGAAGATCCCAATTAAGTGTAGCCAACGCAAGACTTCTCTGTACACTGTAAGAATTCAGTCGGTGGTGTGTCTGTAGTTTCACATACTTTTCCACTAGCTCACAGCCCTTATCGCTAAGACCATAATCCTGCTATTTAGGCTAAACATACCTCTCCTTCAGGCTGTTATTTCAAGTTAGTCTCCGCAACCCTAAGCAGTTAGTTCTGCTGGGTTATCCCTTTCCAAGTACTTGCAGATGCTGGGGAGTTCTTCCTCATGTTTTTAAGACTAATGTTGTAAGAATTATCATATGCTTATGCAGTCATGCTTATCCTTCTTTTTTTTTTTTTTTTATTCTGTTTTCCGTTCCTTCTCCGTGTCTCGAGATAGCTTTTTGTACCCATTAGACAATTTTAATAACTGGAAAACTAAGTGGCTGCCTAGAACTGCTTGGAGGAGGCAGACGGACATCAGTCAGTCCCTGTGCCAAACAGAAGGCGATGGCTTCAGCATCCCTGTTTGGGCTGGCCTGCCGGCTGGCCAAATAGCCAGCGCGTACCTGCTGGCCATCCAGCACATGCTCGGTGCAGCATCAGCCCTGGCACGCGTGGCCTCCCAGCGACGCTGCAGGGCGGTGGCCTGGGGAGTCGGGAAGTACTGGGAGGTGTTTAATGACTGGGAGAAATTCAGGATCTGGAAAGGGGTATTAAGGCGCAAGGGGTGAGGACGGTCAGACGTCGCCCCGTGAAAAACAGGCTTTCATTGCACTGCACGCAAATTGCTCATTCCCAGAAGGCAGCGAAATACTGCTCTTGCTAAATAAAAGAATGAAATTATTCTTTAAGGATGTGCAAAGACCTTTGAAGTTTCATCATTTTAGTCAGTCCTCTCCCCTATCCTGATCCGATGTGAAAGAATGGAATCCTCATTGCACAAATTCACAAAATATCAGGATTTTCATATCTCAGGAATCTGTAAGAAAAGGGATGGTAAGAAGCTAACTTAGAAAAGTCAATCCTTTGATGTCTGGCAGTATCCAAAAGCGTGTAAGTGCATTGCTCCACCGTCTTTTCCACAAACTGTTAATTTGTCTGAAGTTCTGCTCCTATTAAAGCAAACTATTGGAAACTACTCTTAAGAGAGAAAAAAAATACAACTTTCAATCGCAAAACACTCCTCAGTTATTTTTTTAGTGTTGCTTACTTCTTTTTTTTTAAAGTTTTTGGAAAAACATGACATATCTACCATACGTTTTCCTCTTGTTACAAAGAAGCTATGAATAGCACCTGTCATGGTTTTGACTAGATGGTAAAAAAGGCAGTGATGTTTAAAATGCTAAATGATGAACTCCTCAGAAGAGGCATCTGAGAATCTTTAGAGAGTTATTACATTTTACACTGATGGGCCCTTTCTGTGGCTTCTGAATTTTTCAGTCGCCCTGAAATTGCAATATTAAATAAATGTGATGAGAAGTATTCCTGGTTGGTTTAGTTTATGTTCAGTAATGAGCTTTAAATGTAATTATCTTTGAATTTTCTTAGCATTTTCCTAAGGTTCTTTTCTAGGTTTATTTTTATCCATAACTGAAAATGTCTGCTATAAAAACAGTTTTGGTTGCAGAGAGGCAATAATGTGCTTACCTGCTAATATGTTGATAAAACCTAATCTTTAGCTGTGTGGAAATAATTTAGGATATCACCTGTTTTCTCACTATCCCTAGAGCTATAGTATCTAACATATGTGCGTAACTTTGCAAGTATGGTTTAAAGGTCTCATGTCATAAAATACAACCTCAGCAGGTACTCCAAAACATGAGTTGCTGTTTCACCGTCAATCTCAAAAATATAAAGTAAATGCTAACCTTTGTGTTAAAGAACAAGTATCGCTTGCATTAATGGCAAACAGTAATCCGTCTACAAATGCAACTTCACATGATACTGACATTTCTCCGAAATTCAGCGTCAGATGCCTTCTTTTTCGGGTGAAGCGATCTGCCAAATCTAAATTGGATTGCAGTTTTGCAGATGAAGTGCAGACTTTTTATGAGTCTTCACCCTAGTTCGTTTCTCTATCTTTTTCACCTATTAATTAGCTTTTCTGGTGGAGATAGAACAGTATTTCAGCATTTGAGGTGTGTATGCTATTCTTGTGAAAGACATGCATGGCTGAGATGGAAGGAAGCAGCATCAATTACCCTTGTTAGATTCAGAGGAGCAGTTATGAGAACTAAGTGTATTTTGTCCCATCCCCACGAAAATAGTTCAATGGAAATCTTCCCTCTGAGTTCAATTGGCTTTGAATTCAGGCATAAGCACTAAAAATAACAAGCTTTTTCAAGAGCAGAGAAACTAGTGAAGCTTTGTGTCCTGTGCCCCCAGCACCGTACCTTTGCAACAATCCCGGCTCCGCATTTGGCATCCCTTGTTCCCATCTCCCATCGCAACACCTACATTTTACCTCTGCAGTCCTTTTCTCCCAAGATTTTTCCTAATCACCCTGCAAGTCTCCTCTGTATCTCTTAATTAGCAGAGAGGAGGTGGGCTGGTTTTGCTGAGGCTGTTTCTGAACTACACGCGTGCTGACTGGCCCAGTCAGCGGGCCAGAGGGAATAGATGACTGCTGACCTCACATTTTTACTTAATGAGGCACTAATTTAAATCGCTCTCCCCTTGTCTAGTCGCTGCTTCTCATGAAACTTGTCGGAATGAAATGAAGTTTGATCCCTCTGCTGCTTTGTCAGATGCATTGGAGAATGAAAACAGGTTCCTACGTTGATACGGCGAAGCAGGCAGACAGCATGATGCGTATCTCTTTCTTATGAAAAAAAAAAAAAAAAAGAAGCTAAAATAAATGAGAAAAGTTTAAAAGAGTATTCTAGGATTTTACCGAAGCATTAGTTGTGATTGCTGAGTGTGAAGAACCTCTGTAACTTCTGCCTCCTGTTTGTATTTGTTAGGCTGCTGTTTGTAAATATTCACCTGTGATTATGAACCCCTTTGATGATGACTGACAAAAAAGTATGCAGTCTTTTGTCTTGAATGGTCCAGTGTGCAGGGATGCCTAATCTTTCTGTAATCAGTTTGCGCCTGCTGGATTAACGGTCTTTCATTGTAGTCAGGCATATCCACAACGTTGGTTGCCTCAGCTACTCACTAGGGCTTGCGGTCACAGCATAGAAAACAGAATTAATTTGGTCTTTTGACCAAGGAGAGATGGGATGGCCTGAAAAATGGGGGAGATTTGCGGCTATGCCTCCACCTGCAGTGAAGGGGAGGTCCTTGGTGGCCTTGGGCTGTCCGGTATGGAGCTTGCTGAGGGTCGCAGCCGTGCCGATGGCACCCGGGCTGCGAGAAGCCTCCCTGGGCAGGCGTTTGCGTGTGCTTTGGGATTCCTGGGAATCAGACCTGTGCTCCCACTGCCTGGCCTCCCTCCCCTTTCCTGAGAGGCTTTGCGATCCTGCCCTTTTCCAGCAGCGGCACACAAGCTGTAAAGGGAACAGGCGCCGGACTGGGGGTCCCCCGTGTCTGTGAGGGGCTACGTGGCCACCACTAGCTTGTCCTGAGCCAGGTCTCATGTCGCTAAAAATTCCAGACCCATTACATGGGTGTCAGTGAGGTGCCATTAGTGTAAACCATGTGCAGGTAAAGGTCTGTCTTTGTATAAATCCAGTTCTCTTAGGTAAGCCTAATGCATATATAACAAGCATCCTGCAAGGCAAGCTGTTCAGAGGGATGCTTTGAGGTTCTCTGTTTATTTACTGATATATTTCCCTGAGGACTGCTAGTAAATAAACATGTATTTATGTATTTATTTTTTTATCTTATCTCTGGGTGACCGGCTCACGTCGAGTTCGGGTTGTTGGGAGCGTAAGTGATTCCAGTCTGCTGGCAGGGTGCAGGAGGCCGGGTACGGTTCCTAGTGGGGCGACGTGCCCTGTCGCAGCTGGAGCATTTGTTGGCCATTTCAGCAGAGACTGAAATTTGAAGAAGCACCGAGTGTGAGCAAACTTGCTGTCTTAAGAGATGCTCGTTGTTTGCTGCAGGTGAAGCACGCTTATAGATAAATGTATGTGTCTCTTCTTTAGGTAAGCAAAGGCGTTAGTAGGCAGGGGATTCTCCTGAGCATCTTCAAATGAGAATGAGATTTACTTAAAAATGCAAGTTATAGTTGTGCTGTGAGCTGTGAGCAGCTTCCCAGGTCTCAGCCATGGATAAAATGATGAAATAAGAAAGAATTCAGAATAAAAACAAATCTGGTGCAAAAGATACAGAATGAGGCCCACTACACGTTGCTGTTATTTGCATACTACAAGGGAGGACTAATTTATGCAAAAGAGAGAGGAGGAATGAAGAACTCTGTTTTCTGTACTGCAGTATGTTTTTTCACATACCCCAGTGATCTGGGGTGGGATTTTTGAGTGCAATGGGAGTTTGTGATCCTCATGTAAGGTTAGAGTTCATCCTTTGTTCTGGCAGTAAATTACATACACTGTGTAAATCAGAAGCTGTTTGGCATGTAAGGATTAAAGAGTACCTTCAGGCAGACTTGAAGGAGCGTCCCCAGGCAAACCCGTGCTGCTCCTCTGCCAGCTGGTGCAGTTCCCAAAGACGGGAGAGCTAACCCAGGGAAAGACCAGTGACAACTTGTGCTGGCCCCATGAGCTGACCTTGCTCCCTGCAGGGGACGGAGACATGCCAATGCCGGGGAGGTGGTGGGGCTGAGGTGGGGCCGGGCAGCGCGGGGGGGCTGCGTTGTCCCTCTGCGTTTCGGCAAGAGGGTCAGTGGGCTCAGGCGTCCCCCGATCCAGCACCCCAGAGCTGTAACTCCCTGACACGGGTCCTTCCTTGGGTCCTCCTTCTCCAGGGAGAGCTGTTTATGATTGCTTATAGCAGTGGTGAAATCGCCGCAGCTCCCCGTGCGCTCAGCTGGAGTGGCAGAAGAGGGCAAGAGGCTCCATGGCAGAGTTCCCTCGAGACTGAAGCCCCGTGAGGCCGGCACAGCTTTTGACATGTTTCTTTTCGTTTGCATAAAATAGCTTCTCGCAAACGCCAACAGCATCAGGAAAAGAGGACACCAATGATAACATCACCATATTCACCAGGATCTTGGACGGTCTGCTGGACGGCTACGACAACCGACTGCGCCCGGGACTGGGAGGTAGGTAGCGCGTTCGCTGTGGCCGGTCCCCCGCTGTGTGGGACCATCGTCTACATGATGCCCTCCTGAATGGGTACCTGCTCTCGGCATGGGACTTGATGAGGGAGTTGTGTTTCATTAGCTAAATGAAGCCCAGAAAGAAGGTTTGTCTCCTGGCAAACGGCACAATACAAAGGCCACTGAAAGTCGTCTTCTTTCAGTCATTGAGGTCATTTGAGGTTGGGTTAGGAGAGCGTGTGTGATGCATTTTTTCTGTAATTGAATACAGTTTGGGTTTCTTTTCTTTCCGGTACCCGCTAAGGTGAGCGAGACAGGGTGCTAGCAGGTTGCTGCAAAGTTCCCTCACTGGTCAGCATGTCTAAAATTACACTGGTGATGAAAATCTCTGTTGAAAACAGATCCCCAAACCATCCATTTTTAGACAGCTACAGCAAATCTGTATTGATATGTCATTTTGATAACCTCTACAGCAGCTATTTTAAAACCATAACATGTGAATAGTTGCTTGCCATCCTAACCTTGTTGAGCCCTCCTTCAGCTCTCTATCCCCCAGATTTCTCTCATCTTCTCCCCATGTGTAAACCATCTGTTATGTTTCTTCCTGGCCCTTTTTTAATCTGGCTACCCCCACCCCTTCCTCTTGTGAGACCAACACATTGCTTTCATCCTTTTCTCTCCTTCTCCTCTCACTTTACACAGAGATGCTTGAAAATAGGGCTCCATGCTCCTATCTTATGTAACAAACTTCTGAAATTTCTGCTCTTAAATTAAATTAGCCCTGGATTTGAAAAGACGCCAGAAGGACTTAGAGTCTTGAGGGTCGACTTAATTTCACCTAACTTGGGACATCTATAATATACATGTCTGAAATTGGGCGTATCATCTGAGCCAGCAGAAGGGAATAGGTCCTTCCAAGGTACACTTCATCTCATCCTATAGTAGTATCAAATATATGCTGGCAGTGTGCACTTACAGCCCAGAAAGCCAACTGGGCTGCATCAACAGCAGTGTGGCCAGCAGGTCGAGGGAGGTGATTCTTCTCCTCTGCTCTGCTCTTGTGAGACCCCACCTGGAGTACTGTGTCAGCTCTGGAGCCCCCAACATAAGAAGAACATGGACCTGTTGGAGCGAGTCCAGAGGAGGGCCACGAAGACAATCAGAGGGCTAGAGCACCTCTCCTATGAGGAGAGGCTGAGAGAGTTGGGCTTGTTCAGCCTGGAGAAGAGAAGGCTCCGGGGAGACCTTATTGCCGCCTTCCAGTACCTAAAGGGGGCCTACAGGAGAGCTGGGGAGGGACTCTTTATCAGGGAGTGTCAGGGAGTGTAGTGCTAGGCTGAGGGGTAACGGTTTTAAACTGGAAGAAGGGAGATTTAGATCAGATATTAGAAAGAAATTTTTCACTTTGAGAGTGGTGAGACACTGGAACAGGCTGGCCCGCGAAGCTGTGGATGCCCCATCCCTGGAAGCGTTCAAGGTTGGATGGGGTTTTGAGCAACCTGGTCTAGTGGAAGGGGTCCCTGTCCATGGCAGGGGGGTTGGAGTGAGATGATCTTTAAGGTCCCTTCCAACCCAAACCATTCCGTGATTCTATGATCTATGATCAAAACATGTCAGTCAGAGGAATTGCACCCTTGAAGGGCCTGTTTCTTTCCACTAATTATAAGAAGAGAGCCTGGGCTCCCAAAGGTCGACAACGGTATTTGATCAGGGATAAAATTGCTCCTCAAAACATCTTCATTTCAAGCTTTTGGGGATTTTTCAGTGATTCAGAAGTTGTTAATAGAGAAATGCATCACAAGCACGTATTTGCATCTTAAAGCAATTACTAATGCAGAGCCTGTATTTGTTACAGAGAGAATAACTCAGGTGAAAACAGACATCTATGTTACCAGTTTTGGTCCTGTGTCAGACACAGAAATGGTAAGTTTGAGCAGGTGGCTGCCAGCTCCATTGTACTTACTTTGCTAAAGTCATTTTTGGAACCATCGCTTCTATTCAGATCCCGCAATACTGCGACTGTTTCTTTGTGCCAGGAATACACCATTGATGTTTTTTTCCGACAAAGCTGGAAAGACGAAAGGCTGCGATTCAAAGGACCTATGCAACGCCTCCCTCTTAACAACCTGCTCGCCAGCAAGATTTGGACCCCGGACACTTTCTTCCACAATGGCAAGAAATCTATTGCTCACAACATGACAACCCCAAACAAACTTCTGCGCCTGGAGGATGACGGAACTCTGCTGTATACCATGAGGTAATAACCAGGATTGATTTCTTCTGATGCCAATTCCCAGCTAGTTCTACAAATACTTGGGGGGAGCGTCACTTCCCCCACTCCCAGTAGAGCCAGGCAACCAGTCTTTCACACATATTTATGTGAATATCAAGAAAAACGGAAAACATAATCGCTGCCTACAAGTACCAATTAATTGGTAGCTTCTGAATACTGCTAGTGCTTAAATATTTCCTATGATTAAATGGAAGGCATATTCTCAACAGATTTGATGATTCAGTCCAGCTTTTTTCTGAAGATCTGTTCTCTCTTACTGTTTGTATTTGCAGCTGCAGTGCTGATTGCAGGAGAACTGTCTCCAAGGCCAGAAACTGAGATCTTGTTCTGGGGCAGTACATCTTGAACCCTTGGAGCTTTTATTATTCTTTTTTTTTTTTATTATTATTTCACTAATAGTGCTAAAAGGCAAATCATCATAGGGAAAAAAGAAACAAGCTAGCAGCACTGTGAAGCTGCTTTAGCGAGTACTTTCCTGAAAACAAAGCCGGCACTTTATATTGGCAGAGAAGCAAATTGGGGTGTCAGATCTTCAGGGTTATGCTCCTCATCTGATTAGAGGATACTGTCCAGCTTCATCAATGCATAACCTAGATATAAGATATAATATCAGTGATGTTAGAGGATTGTGTGAAATTCTTCTCAGGCCAAATCCCACATCAGTGTATGGCAATTTGCTTATTAAAGGTAATTAGCCTGTAGTAATTAAGACCGCCGTCTATCTTCAACAGGGTTTTCTCCAAGAGCGTAGTCATATAGACAACACTCAGCCGAGAGATGAAAGGAAAAACCTACCAAGCAACGAAGTGTTATTCTGAGCTTTTCACATACAAGCCCAGAGTGGTGCCTGGGACCCAGCAAAGCGCTCGGGACCCCGAGGTTAGGCGCTGAGACGCCCGGCTTTGCAGCAGGCAGCCCCCAACGGAGGGAAGGGGGGAGCTGGGCTCCCATCGGCGCCCCGTCCGGCTGCAGGGCCGGCTCTGAGGGACACGGCCGGCAGCTGCCCGGTGCCGCACGTTGGGAGGGCGAACCCCCCAGCTCGCTCCCGGGGCGCAGAGGTTAAGACTTGTTGGGGCTCAAGGGGATTACCCTGCAGGCACCTGGAGCTTCCCTGGTTTTATTTTGGGTGTTTTCGACCTGTTTTGTTTATTTATTTATCTTGGCCCTGGCCTTAAGTCACCTCTTCTGAAAGGCAAAGAGATCTAGGAGAAGTAAGGTATCCTTACGTAAGTCGTAAGTTGTTACAGCTTTAGAGCATCATAGTTATGATTGCAGTAGTGCTAAAAAGACTTAGACATGATAGAGGTCATGTTTGAATGAAGGAAACGACCCTCTCCTTTTCTCTTTCGCTATGTGTGTTGCTGTTCTTACTAGCCCCAAGCTAGTGATCTCCATGATAATAAGCTCCTGAAACAATACAAGGATACACATACACGCTTAAATGAATGATAGTCAAAATAACTATTGGAGAAACCTGTATTTCACAAAAGTATTGGTAGTGCTGGCCTTAAAACCAGTCTCACTGCCACTAAGACTACACTAGTACCACTCCAGAGACTGCTGCAGAGGCAATTCCCGATTATCCGTGTAAATTACTTGTGTAAGTAAAGTCCAGGCCAGGCTAGCAGTCAGCCTGGAGCAAAACATTACATCGTGTGGCGGATTCACGGCCGGCACATTATTCCTGTGCAAGCACTGGGTTTTGCAGGGTCGAAGAAAATGCAGCGAAGCACCAATGATGAGCTGAGCCACCCGAGGTAGCACAGCGAGACCCGGGTGAGCAAGGCCAAGGTGAGCTCGCTGCCGAATCTGAGTTACTCTGTGGAGGTGTCTCTCCTGCGACCATGGCAGAGTGTTGTCACATTAGATGCCGCACAGCGAGACCCGGGTGAGCAAGGCCAAGGTGAGCTCGCTGCCGAATCTGAGTTACTCTGTGGAGGTGTCTCTCCTGCGACCATGGCAGAGTGTTGTCACATTAGATGCCACGGGCTATAGGTGTATTGAGGCAAAGACAGTGCCCTGCTCAGGATACGCAGCTGGAGAAAAATTTGGGTTTGACACAGGCTTTCTCATCGTCCCACTCAGTCTCTTTTCCCCTGGTTTGGGGATTTATGTTTTTTTGTAGGCTACAGAGAGACACAGAATGCTTTTGTAACCTAAAAAACATGCAACTTAACTTTTTTTTTTTGGTAGAGTATTGTATGTGGGCGTGCATGTGTGTGGAAATAAATTCCCACTAACCATGGTGTATGTGATAAGAAATGGAGCGCAAAACTTTTAAAATAGCTTGCCTTCCACTATTGCAAGTAATGACTTTAAAAATAAAAGAGCATCTCTGCTATTCTGTTTAAACGCAAGTCAGGAGACTGCTTTTCTGAGGTGCACGGAGCTGTGCTACTTTAGGGACAGCAGTTTTTCCTGACGGGCATTCCCGTGATGCTCTGCCGCGGGGTGGTTCGAGGATCCCGTCCCAACCTGCGCAGAGGTGGCTGTGACATACAGCCAGCCCCGTCAGGTGCCTTCGCACGTCCCGACGAAGGTAACAGCTCCGCAGCACTACCTGGCATGAGAAGATAAGGCAGCATTGGGCTTTTTGAGGGGAGAGCTTCTTGTCTCGGTGGTGGTGCACTGGCTGAAGGTACTGGGTCTTAGCCGGGGCTTGAGCCCCATCTCCTGTATCTCCCGTCAGACTTACTCGGTTCTCGGGATCTGGGGATGTGGAGACAACCCTCTGTTAGCTCTGCGTTCCCCTCGTTTCCAAGGAGGAATTGCGAGTTTCCCAGACTGTACGTAGGTGTAATGCGTGTGGGGAGGATTGGACCCTCTGTCATTGACAGAGATGCCTGAATTGCTTTTGCAACCTCGCATCTGGCTGCCTGAATGAAGAGGAGGGAAGCAGCCGAGCCGACACTGACCTTCCATCTTATTTGACTTCCAAATATACCGAGTATGATCAGCTGAGCAAACTTCCAGCTTTAGCACTTGTCAGTACATACATTTTTCATGATACATGTGTTTACTTATAAAGAAAAATGTACTCTTCGCATATTGCATTTGATGATACGTTGTCTAGGTCAGAAGTTGATGGGATGCATGTTGCTAGGGAAGTCTAATAAATGGGCTTCTATATCCGTGCAGTATTGAAACCCTTCTGCATGAATATAGGAACACATCATGCTCTTTAGACAGATTGCATAGGCAGCAGCGTTCTCTGCAGGGAACGACTTAATAGTTCTGATCGGCTTTGATTTGGTAGGCCTTATTTGTTTTATTTCGCTAATGTGGTTTACAACTGATACACTGCTGAATTGAATGTTGCAAATTCTGTTTCTGCCCCTAGAGGGGAGTATTGTCCCAATCTCCACTTGTAAATGAATATTTTTTTTTTTTCTAAGTGAAAGCACTGTGGTAAAAAGGCCCTAGCAAATATACTTCATATTTCCCTAATCTGTATAGAAAATAGCGTCGTGAATGGAGGTAGAAAACATTCTTTCACTTTAAAAACTTAAATTTATTTAATTTGTCTTATCTGAGGCATAAATGTTGTAAAAAGCATAAAGCTCGTTTGTTCCTTGAAACTGTTCTGAAAAATGGGGACAGTGGTTTAAGCAATGTTTTCAGGCTAAGCGAACTAATATGTCTCAGTGAGCTGCATTTTTTTATTCATTGGGATTTGGCTGTAAAGACACAAGTGCTGATAAACTTGGCTGTAGGATGCCAGAAAAAAAGCTGCGAGTCTGTCTTTTTTTTTTTTTAATAGAACTTGTATGAAGTAGAGCATAGTCACTAGAGCAGAGTCACATAGTCACTTTTGACCAGCAGTTCATAGCGAATTTTTGGTCATTTTCTATCAGCTCATACATAGTGAAAAATCTTTTTGTGTCATCACAAGGGCTCCTTGGAGCCCCACTCTCACCATTGTTTTGAAAGGACCCCAAGCCACTTTTGCTACCACTAGGGCTACCAGGCATCTGATATAATTTGGGATTTTAACTATGACGTGGTCATACATCTGAAGAGTGTACAAACAGATTTGCCCCGTGTTATTACAGCAGCTGAAGGGTGCCAGAGATCCTGGGAGCGTTTACAGTCGTATCTGTGCCATTAATCTGCAGATGCATAATGTATCTGCTGGAGACTGCATACATTTGTCAGTGTGGTGTTAAGAAACTGCGAATTTTTAGTACAGCCCTGAAATACAGTTATCTATCGCCCCTGGAAGACATTTAAAATTCAGCAGTGTGTAGGAAGGCTATCCACTTGATGGCAGCATAACCCCGCTGCTTGCTCTTCTGTAGCGACTACGCTACGCCAGCTTCTCTAGGCTGAAAATATTGTTTCTTACATTAGCACTGAGCGTTAAAATTGCGTGTGCAAGTGTACGCATGTCCTGGGTGCACGTTAGCGCAAAGTCTGCTCTTACACAAGGAACCTCATCAGCAAGCTAATCATCTTATGCTGTAGGTCTATTGATTATAAAACCAGTTGACTGGAAGATAATGCTGCTGCTTTCAAGACTTCCAGTGGGAAAGTCAGGTTTTGTTAGCTTGGGTTTTTTAAGGGAAACTTATTCTGTGAAAAATGTGTGGGTTCTTAAGTGCTGACTTTGCCAGAAGGCAGCCTTTCCCAGATGCAGGTTTGCTCGTGTGGCCCTGAGCGAGGAGTGACCAGCAAATCTATGCTTTAAAACGAACCCTTAATTTTCAATCAGCCAGCTGCCTAGATGGGAACACTTCTGTTCAATTTGAATATGTTGTTCTTATTTCAAAGGGAAGATTTCGTTTATGCAACCATTTATATTTACAGAAAGGGATCTGGCAATGCTTTTGGGTATTGTATAAATATTACAAAACTAATTAGGAGCTATCAAGCCGTACAAATACGCATTTCCTTTCCCCATGTTACACTTGCTGCTTTTTCTTTCATATTCAAGCTTCAAACTGCCTGAAGCTGGAAGAAAAAAA